ACTGTGAACTGGGAGAGTGGATGGAGCTGAGCTCAACCTCTACGGTCCTTGCCTGCTCTCCTAAAACCGGACACACTTCAATTGTGGTGTTGTTGTGGTGATCCGGTAGTGGCGTCGAGAAGGACGCGGCCGGTCTGTACGTCCTCGAGTGGTCTTGTGTCACCCAGTTTTTCCCTGTCAGCCTTCCGTCAGGCTGCACTTCCGCCATTTTGTGATCGGGATCGATCCATTTTACCGCAAACGCCGCTATCAATTGTTGTCTATTGCCATGGTCGGGGGTTCCATCCACCTTTTCTTTTAAAAGTTTTGCTGGCTTTCAACGTGTTCGACCTTATCACCTCCAGAAGCTCTGTCTTTGCCTGGTGAAGACCGAATGCCTCTTCTCGATGCTCTACCGAGCACCTCATCCTCCAGATAACCATAAGTATGGCGAGTCTCATGTATTTAAAGAGATTTTGCTGGAAGGGTGTCCAGGTGGAGGGGAAGCTGRTCTTTTTGCCCAGTAAGATGAGGGYGATATTCSATGGGAACGAAACACCTGTGAGCTCGCACCACAACGCGTYCCACCATTGCCAAACCTGCACTGCCATTGGATACGCCAGCAGGCAGTGCTCCAAGTCTGCTCGTCTGCGTTGTGCGCCGTCACCACAGTGGGAGCATATGGGGGATAGGACTCCTGTCTGTTCAAGGTTAGTGCGTGAGGTTATCCAGTCCGGTGTCGGGAGGCAGCGGTGAATAATCTGCCACTGCAGCGCCCTGTATGTTGTTGGCATTATATGAGCATATGTAGTCCAGGGGATGTGGAGCAGTTCCCCCTCTTGCAGTGGAGAGTCCCGTCTCCATCGCGCCTGGACGACCGGAGTGGAGGCATGAGACTTGTGCACCTGTTTGTAACCCTGTCTCTTATACACATCTAGATGTGTATAAGAGACAGGAGTGGAGGCATGAGACTTGTGCACCTGTTTGTAACCCCCGCGTACGGAATATTGCCAGACCGGGATAGGTTTCCGGCCTTTCCATGCCCACTCATCCGGGTCAAACGCTAGTGCTTCCACCGGGGTAGACATTTCATAGGCAAAKTAGCCATTGTCRTCGTCYCCCACCACTCGTATCCTAGTTAGCTCTCCCARGGGACACACTCCGTCTAGCTCRGGAGCCCTTTTCAATGAGGCCCAKCGTGCCCCTGGGACATCCGGTTCATATGCGTGGAGGTGTGCTTCTTGACCTATGCAGCRGAYCACCCTGAAGATGGACATGGGGATAGGGTTCCGRGAAGTCWTTATCACCCAATCCAGGCTGCAGACCGTAGGGCCCTCCCGCAGGGTGGCAAGCCATGAAGTCGGGACTGCCCTATGAATGRGGTYCARCTTGTYSTGTYGATTTCTGATGTGTCTCAGGTTAGGCTGCAGCTGCTGTGCCGACTTCCATGCACCATTYTGGGCATCCCAGAGGTCCCCGATGCTAAATAGGCCGTTCCTTACCCACGCCAACCAATGGGAGTTGGCCGCCAGGGAGAGTGGCGAGCCTGTTTCGTCACATWTATCGGRGTTGCCGAAGAGTGGCTRTCGCCATATCTCTTGCCACCTCAACGGGGGGTGCTTCTTGGTCGGGCCCATCTCCCTCCACAAGTGTAGTATCCCAGTCCACAGTGGGTCATGTTTAAGGTCCCGTCTCACACTGTTGCGAGGTGTGCCATCATTCTTACGCCGCGGGGGGCCGGGCACGGACCAGGCTTTGTTTGTTAGCCATTGGAGGGGGTGGACTGGGGCGTCTGGGTGAGAGGGTGGGGCCAGATTATCAAGCTGTATGTATGCTAGAGGCAGCCACGGGACATCGTTTGTGAGCAATAGACGAAGTATCACTTTGAAAATGAGGGCCTTGATTTCGTCCCCGGGATCCAGGATGCCCAACCCCCCAATTCTCTTCGGTTGGGTTACGTATTTCCAGGCCACTCTCTTTAGACATTTCGTCAGTTTGTGGTCGTTTCTCCACAGGTATGCTGACAGCGCTGCTTGGAGATGCGTCAGGTGTTTTTTTGGTATGTCCCAAAAGGCCGTTTTGTACCAGATAGAGGATAAAACAGCGTTATTTATGGCCAGGGCTCTCCCCACCAGCGATGTGTRGAGGCSKYCCMMYTWRSC